GCTCCGCTCGCTCCTGGTGCTCCCGCGGGCTACACCCTCCCGGGGCGTCCGCGCACCGCGGCTCTGGCCCTGCCGGCGAGGGGCCGCCAGCGCTCTCCTGGACCTGTCGTCGTCTATGACCGTGGGTTGAACTGCGGTTCGCGACATCTGTTCAGCCGGCCGTGCCCCGCACTTTTAAAATCTTGGTGGGGACCCCTAGCAGATCCCGCGGGCTCGCGCGCGCCCCTCCAGCCACTGGGTTGGTCTGGGGCTTGGGTCTGTGCGCTGGGACATAACGGGCTTTGTGGGGGCCCCGGAGGGCAGCCCCCGAGAACGGGGGGCAGCCTCGCCCGCCCGGGACCTCAGAAGGAGAGCTCGGAACCCAGCGGTCGCAGAGCGCGGACAGACGTTGAATAAGCAACAGCACACGTGGGTGGTTGAAATGTCAGTTCTGAGAGCCCGAGCGGCAAAAACAGGGAAAGAACAGAGGGGGCCTCCTCTTAGGCAGGGCAGGGCGAAGTCTGGGCAGTTTTGCTGAGCTGGGAGGACTCAAGGGTTTGACCTCGCTCAGCTTCTTGCCTGGAAATTGCACCCTTTCCAACTCCGCCTGAGGTGAGGCTGCAGTAAAGTACGTTTGGGAGCTGCTGGATCCCCAACAAGCAAGGCCCCTGGGGACAAGGACACCTGGCTGTGCTCTCTGGGCACGCGGAGCTGTAGAGTGTCACTGGCCCTCACTTGGCGGAGGCCAGGCAGCCGGTCCTCGCAGCCCTGCTGTCCAGCCTGCTCCAGAGGAGAGCAGTGTTTTGGAGAGCTCGTGCTGGCTGGCCGAGAGGGTGTCTTTCCTGAATCAACAGTGGAACAGTTCAACAAGTGCGTGGCTCAGCTATCATCCATTTCTTCAACAGCTGCGTCATGACTTGGTCTCGGGGCCTCAAGTCTGCAGGGTCAGTCTCTGATGTGGGACAGGGACACGGCCACCCCTCCCAGGATGCTGGCAGCCAAAAACATGAAAGGAGAACAGCAGCAATGTGGAGCCAACCACAGGGAACCAAATTTCCAGACCCCAAAAGGGCAGGAAAGGTCAGACAAGTGGACAGGTTTAAAAATGGCCCTCAACCCCTGGCTGGCAGGCAGTGACACCCGCCCCACACTGCTTTCTTAGGGACATGCTGCCACCTCCCTGCCCATGAGGCTGAGGCACCTGGGTTATTCTCTCCAGTGGCCTCAGGGAAGGTCAGGCTCCTTCTTGAGTTTTCCAATGGGACTTTGGATTCCTGACCTGCCACTTGCTGACTGTGTGACCCCGACACCTCATTTGGCCAGAATCTTTTCTCCCGTAGGCAGCCACGTCCACTGAGTGAGCTCTGACTCACAGCCATCCTCTAGGGCCGGACACAGCTGCCCCTTATGGTTTCTTTCTTTTTAATTTGTTTCTTTCCCTTATGGTTTCTAACGCTGGAAATCCTTAAGAAAGTAGACTGCCACATCTTTCTACTGGTGGTAATGACTGTGAGTTCAAACTGAAGACCTTTCAATTAGCAGCCCAGTGCTTTATGCTTTGTGCCACCAGGGCTCCTTTATCTAGGAAACGTCAAAAACCTCAATCTCATTTTCATCAAGGTGGAACTGACCCATAGCTGACTCTCCAGTGGGTTTTCCAAGGCTGACGACCGCACAAGAAGGGACAGCCCATCTTTCTCCCATGGGAGACCCAAGCTGTCAAGATGCTGCTTTCGGTTAGCAGCCAAACTCCCTGAGCCACCAGAGGGTGGTAGGCATCACAAGAGCAAACCTCTATGCAGCATTGAAAGCAATGGTGACTTGGTGGGAAGCAACTGCGCTACCAACACAAAGAAAGGTTCGAATCCTCCAGCCAATCCACAGGAGAAAGATGGGCAGTCTCCTCCCGTGAGATTTACCGCCTTTGAAAATCCACTGGAGGGTCTGCTATGGGTCAGTTCTGACTTGATGGTACTCAACAATAGTATAACACTCTGGGAACTCAAGTGGTGAAGAGCTGCACTGCCAACTTGAAGGCACATGGTTCGAATCCACTGGCTGCTCCAAGGGAAAAGATGAGCCATCTCCTTTCGTACAATTCACAGCCTCTGATAATGGTGGGTGGGTCTGCTAGGGATTGGTTTCAACTCAATGGCACATAGGAAAAACCAATACAGCACTCCCACCAGGCCAGGCACTGTCCTGAGCACTGTACACATACTGCCTCCTCCATCCCTGTAGACATCACACCTACACGGCCACTAGCTGGCTGCTGCAGGGTCAGATCCAGGGCACGTGTGCCCTCCCGTGGGGAGGAGTGTGATTAACATAAGTCACTGCTGTCGCCATCCTGGTCCTTCTATCTTCTCGCCTTACAAGAAAGGGCTGTAGACACTGCACCTCTCTGTCCAGGGCTGGGACCTGAGCCTCACATGATCTCATAACCACTCGTGGCCTGGGTGACTTTGCCTAGGTCAAGCTTCCTAGTACAAGAAAGGATACAGCATGTCCTGTGAGGGCGGTTGGGCCGAGGAAGGTGGCCAAAGGCCTTCCAACGATGCCTGCAGGGCCTGGGCTGCACTGGGATCGGCCAGGAGACCCATGTGCTGAACCTGAGGAATGAGAGGCTGAGCCCAGGCTGCTCAGCGTCCAGCCTGACCTCACCCAGCTGCCAGCATCGGCTCCCTGCCTGCTTCCCTCTCAACCCCACCCCCCCAGAGGCTGCTAGACCAGAATCCCACTTTGTTCAGCAGAGCAGCCTGGGAGTGGGGTGCTCCCCACATTCCCCTCCATCCCTACCTGCAGTAAGAAGCCACGCAGAGCCTGCAGCGTGGTGCTCGTGAGTGCGGACAGGTCCACCCGCGCTGCGGCTCGCAGAACATGACCCACTTCTTCAGGAGAGAGGACAGTGGTGCTCCGGAACCGCAGGAACTGCCAGGCAGGAAGCCCATACCTACTGAGCCAGCCTCGTGCTCCTCCAGATACTGCCTGTGCCACCCCCCAACCCCCGACAGCACGGGGCTGGGAACCCAGATCAGAAGCTACAAGGACCTCCACCTTCAAGGCAGCCACAGTGAAGGTGTCACAGGAGTGGGGTGAATGGGCAGACATATGAGAGCCAGCTCCTTCGGCTTTGCATCTCACATCAGTGGGCAAAGTGAACCCCATCTGTCCAAGCACACCACTGCCCTTCCACCTGCTCTGTCACGCCTGGGGACTTCTCCTCCTCTCTGCCTCGTGGGCCTGCAAGGCTCAGCCTTCACTGCACTTACCAGGGTCAAGAGCCTCAAGACTTCAGGTCTGAGGAAGGAATTTTCTCCCGCATCCAAGAGGGTAAACAGCAAAAACCGATTCCAGGGCTGGGAGGCCACGTGGCACGCTGCAGGAAGAGCCAGGCCTGGGTTAATGCTGCACTTTGCTGTTACCCCCAGCCTCCCCCAGGGGAACAGCAGGGAACAGAGAGGGCCTCTACCGACATCTGGGCTCCGGACGTGTAGGTAGTCAAGCAAGGCCTCCAAGCAGCCAACACAGGCCTGGGACAGCAGGGGATCCTTCTGCAAACAGAAGTTCAGGTCAGGTTTGGCTACCAATAGGTCTTGGTTTAAACCAAGAAAAATGGTTGTTCGTACTACTTGGATTTGGAATTTCTGGAGTTATTTTATCTATTCTTTTTACTTACTTATTGTCCAACTTTCAGATGCACAGGAAGCAACTGAAAATACCATGGCTTGGGCCAATTGTACCTTAGTTTTTAAACTGACATCCTAGAGTACTGAATATACCAAAAGAACAAAGAAATCTCTCTTGAAGTACAACCAGAGTGCCCATTAGAGGCAAAGATGGCGAAACTTCATCTCACGTGTCACATGACCAACTTCTTCATGAGAGAGGACATACTAACAGTTATTTAAAAGGGTATATTTTCAAGAAAAAACAGTCTTTAGAGAAAGACATCATGCTGGGAAAGGTGGAGGGTCACAGAGAGAGATGAAGACCGTCAACGAGATGGAACGGCAGTGACTACCACAAGGGGCTAGAGCCTGACAGACAGGCTGGGGCAGGACAGGCCCAGGTTCACATCTGTTCGCAGGGTCACCATACGTCACAGTCCACATGATGACACTTACCAACAGAGCTGTTTGGATCTCAGAATGTGAAATCTGGAATCCTGGTTTTGCAGGTTAATTTTTTTTTTTAAACTGTTACTTTGTTTAATGTTATCTCTTACCCCCACCTCGAGGTTAATTGAGGGTTACTCCTTCAATGATTAATGAACTCACAGTTGACCTTCCAGGGGGGTTTTCAGAGGCTATTATAAATCACATGAGGAAACTGTTCATCTTTCATGTATCAGTGGGTAAAAGCAATGAAAGCAAGACCAGTGCGGAAGACAGACAGAGAGGCTTGGCTGGTTACTGGTTTTGCTTCTAGAGAGCCCAGCCTAATGGGTTTGAACCAAGAGCCTTTCAGTTAACAGGCTCCTTACCAATAAAAAAGCCAAAATTAAAAAGGCTGACAATTAATTGTAAGGGCCTGTGAGGATGCCAATCAATTGGAACTTCTGTACACAGCTGGAGAAGGTGAGATAGTGCAGCCACTTTGATAACCAAATGTGATGATTACTTATACAGTTAACTATATGTGATGGGTAGAATTTTAACATGATTCCATGGCCTTTATATCCTGGTGCCCCTCCTGTGTTTATTTTGGGTTACAGCAAAAATAATGTCTGAGGAGACCTGATCTGATAATATGAACCCTTTAAAACAAAGTGTTCTGTAGTCGGTGGAAGGAGAAATCAGATGAAGTGGGAGAAGGACCTGGCATGCTAGCTTGTAGAGGGAGGGGCTGACGAAGATGGAAGAGGGATCAACCTAACGAGGTGAAAGGGAAGTCCCCGTGAACAGCAACCAAGGAACCTCAGTCCTACAACTGAGGCCTGCATTCTCCCCCAGATCCCTCAGGAAACTCAGTCTTCTGAGACCCTCCTATGAGCAGAGGGGTTTCACTGAGACCACTTGAACTTCTTTCCTACAGAACCCTGAGATAATGAATGGGAGGTGTTTTATGTTGCTAAAACTTGTGGTATGTTGTTACATGCCAACAGAGTACTGATACACGACTGGCCCACAGCCCCACTTCTAGATATTTACTTAAGATAAATGAAAATATATATTCATACAAAGGCTTGTACTTGAATGTTACAAGTAACTTTGGTCATAACAGCCTCAAATCTAGAAACTATAAATACATATTAGCAGGTGAATGGGTCAACAAATTGCAACATAACCATGTAATAGTATACTATCCATACAGACGTCTGTTCAAACAGATCTGTTCTGGAGAGGGTAAAACCAAGTTGCTTCTTGGAGGCCAGGACTTTGAAGCTCTGTCTCACTTTGGGCAGGTGACCAGGAAAAGGGCATCATGCTTGCTTGGAAGGATAGAAGGTCAGCACAGGAGAGAAAAACTCTGGATGAAATGGACTGACACAGCGACCGTGGCAGTGGGGGCAGGTGTATCAGAGATGGTGAAGTTGGCTCAGGATAGGGCAGGGTTCAGAGATGTTGTTTATAGGGTCACTGAGTCTTAGTCAACTTGATGGCACATAACCACCACAACCTAGAAATAAAATGAATTCTTTTTCACTACAATTCAAACACCATATTGATAGCTAGGCAAGGCTTTTCCTTGGTAGGGACATCACGCTTGGAGAGAAGGAGAGTCAGCGAAGGAGAGGAAGACCTCCAACGAGATGGACTGACAGTTACCCAACAGTGGGCTCTAGGGTGTCAGAGATGATGAGGACAGCACAGGATAAGGCAGGGCTCAGGTTGGCTGTTCATAGGGTCGCTATCAGTTATACTTGGCAGCACCCAATAACAATAACAACATGACAATATGAATGAATCTTAAAGGCTGAGCCTTGTAGTAAGGAGCTCTGGTGGCCTCGTGGTAAGAGCTGCACTGCAATCCTGCCCTGCGGGAGAAGCATGGGCAATCTTCTCCCGTGCCATTAACAGCCTCTGTTAAAGCCCACAGGGTCAGCTAGGGGTCAGTTCCAACTCGACAGTGCACAACACAAAGTGAAAGAAGCTAGAGTCATAAGACCAAATGTGATATGATCTCATTATATGTGTGTGTATATGTATGTATGAATATACATAGAAAACATATCAAAAAGGCTAAAATCGTAGTGAGAGTCCCCTCATGTACTTTGGGCATGTTATTAGGAAGGACCCTCATTCTTGGTGAGGTGGAGGGCCAGCTATGAGGCCTGTCCTCAGGAGGTGGACCGACGCAGGGCTGCGCTAACAGGCCCAAGCAGTGACTGTGAGCATGGTGAAGGACTGGGCAGTGTTCCATTCCGCTGTACAGACGAGTCAAAGCGCCACCACCAAGGACAGTGACAGCGAGTAGTTCAGAGAGGGAGAGGGGACTGAAGACAAAGCACAGGAAGCTTTTAGGGAGATGGAGTCTCTATCATGATTATAGTGTTGTTTACACAATTGTTTATAGTATTCAGAACTCATGCAATTGTATGTGTAATATTAGTGAATTTTAGTAGATATAAAACTCTCAATAAGACAGATTTTTTAAAATCCAAAACCTAACAATTTCTATGCTGTGTCTGAGCCTACTGTTGCAGGATTCATGTCAATCCGTCTCTGTCCTCCCTCTTCACTGACCCTCTACTTCACCAAGTGTGATGGCTGTCACTTGGTGGCCACGTGTGTCAACCTGGCCATGATTCCCTGGCTTGACATCTACGGAACGATTTAATATGGCAGCTATGATGATGCAGTTGTCTCCTATAATGCCGTCTGCTATGAGCAGCCCTGATCTAAGATTAGGCCAGGATGCACAGCCAGCTTGATCTAACGTAGGAGAAGTCTCTGCAGAGATGTGGCCTACACTGATTATTTATATGGATTCTGGGAACTAATTAGCTTTTGTTCAATATGGATGCTGAATGTGGCTCATCATTTTTGGGGCTTTGGACTTGAGCCGGCCGTACAGCTTGCCGGTCTTGGCGTCATCAGCACTCAGTGACAGCAACCCACTGCCTTTCCTGCTGACTCTGGATTCATCAGCCCCTATGGCTCAGTCTGCTACCTTAGCTGCCAATCTTGGATTTATCAGGCTCTGATGTCAGCACCTTGTCTCTTTATCTGCCAATCTTGAGTGTCAGTGCCTGTTGCTGTGTGAACAGGGAGAAGCCACAGATCTAGATCTGGGACTTGCCAGCCTCTACATCCTCTTGAGATACTAAGTAACTCTCCCTCTAGAAAGACATACAAATTCTCCTCCCTCCCACATGAAGGAGAAAGAACTTCAACAAGATGGACTGATTCAGTGATGGCGACATTGGATTTATGCACAGTGGCGATAATGAGGACAGCACAGACTTGCGCAGAGTTTTGATCGGTGTTCACAGGGTTGCTATGAGACAGATCCATTTGATGGTACCTAGCAACAGTATATGTGTGTGTGTTTCTACAGGCCAATTTTTGTTTCTTTAGAGAACTCAGCCTAAGACACCATACAAGCTGCTGTCTTCTCCAGGAACTGGTCCCTCCTGATAACATGTCCAAAGTATAATAGATGAAGTCTCACCATCCCTCCTTTTAAGAAACATTCTGATAGTACTTCCCTCGGGTCACCTAATTCCCAGGGCTACCTGGTTCTGTGCTCACGTTATCCCATACAGTCCACAAGGACACATGGATGGTGGCTGAGGAGACAGGAAGCTTTGCACCAGGACAAGCCATGACTGTTCACAAGATACCCTGTCTCCCTGACACTTATTCAGACAATTAAAGAATACAGGCTTTGGAGTCAAAATGACAAGTTTGAATCCTGACCTAAAACTTGGGCAAGTGATTAACACTCTGGGACTGTGTTTTTCCTTTTCTATAAAATTGAGTTGATAATTTCTTACTTCCAGGACAGTGGTTAAGGGCTCAGGTGCTAACCATCAGGTTAACAGAACCACCAGGAAAAAGATGAGGCAGTGTTTGCTTCCACAAAGACGCCAGCTTTGGAAATCTCATAGGGTAGTTCTCCTCTGTCCTATTAAGGGTCATTATGAGTGGGAATTAACTTGATGGTATTAGGTTTGGAGGGGTTTTGTTTATTTGTTTTTAGGGAGGTGATGAAGAAAAATCGTATCTGCCAAGTGCCTAGTTGTTGTTAGGTTCTGTCGAGTATGACTCACGGCGACCCTGTGAACAACAGATCTGAACCCTGCCCTATCCTGCGCCGTCCTCACAGTCTCTGACACACTGGAGCCCGTTGCTGTAGTCACTGTGTCAACCCACCTGGTTGAGGGTCTTCTTCTTTGCTGACCCTCCACCTTTCCAAGCATGATCTCCCTCTCCAAGGAATAACCTCTCCTAGCCAAAGTATGTGAGATGAGTCTCTGTTATTTTTGCCTCCAAGGATCACTCTGGCTGCACCTTCTCCGAGACATATCAGTTTGTTCTTTTGGCAATCCAAGGGATATTCACTACACTTCTCCAACACCACAGCTCAAAGACTTCAGTTCTTGTTC